GCCAGACACACACACACACACACACACACACACAGACACAAGCACGCACAGACACAGACATACACACACACACACACGCACGCACAGACACAGACATACACACACACACAGTATAACCACACACACCTAATTAAACACACACACACCGACACACACACACAAAGCAACCACACACACACACACACACACAACCCACACATTGTATGTATGCTTTGAGACAATCAGCCATCCACATATTCATAATTAGAGACTTTGGCACAGTCACACAGGCTATTGTCAGTACTCATCTCATATGGAAATATTTGTAGTTGTGTTGCCAAAAGTGGAAGTGGATGCAAGTGGTGCTGGTGTAAAAGACGCAGTGCACTCGTAAAGTTCTGCACGTAATGCGACGCAGGTGATGACGCTTCAAAGTCAAAGGTCAGACCGAGGCTTCAGGGTTAAATGAGTCAGACCAGTGCTCCCAGTGAGAGTTGCTGGGCTCACTGTGTCATCTCTCCCCCTGCTCATCTCTTTTATCTGACACTAACGACACTCACATGACGAATCAAGTACTACTAATTGTTATCCTGATTGATTATGAAATGCGACAACTGGAAATGAATAAAGAGTGAATTATTTGTGTACAAAATATAATTAAAAGTAAAATAAGAGAGAAGTTTTGAATTATTCTATCAACTTATTGGATGTAAAGGAAAACTATAAAGCTTTATATTTAGTTTCAGATTCAAATTTAATTATTTAAATGTTTTAAATTTATTTTAGGTTTGTTTTGTTTTAGTTTTATTAATTGATGTATTCAGTTATGTCTGATATGGGTTAGATAGATTGTATTTTATTCACTTTTTTTATTGGTTTATTTTTTTTATTTACGCTCACAGTTTATCTCTCATTGAAAAAATGTTACAAACCTGAATATGTTTATCTGAACTGGAAATCTTCAAAATAACCATTAAATGCACAAAGTCGCATCTGTAGTTCCACCTCAGCCTTCTCCCAAACTTCTGAAGTTAAAACGGCCATCTATTTACGCCTTCAGCAAAAATATTAAAAAGTGTCCTTCACTTCTGCAGGCAGCTTGTAAACATAATCCAAACCTCTTTTCATTGTACTCATGAGTCAAGAGGCAAATATTTACTTCATTATTTTCAGTATCATTCATTTTTTCTTTGCTGACCCTGTAATTGTATCTTAATGTTAGGCTTGTTGCGTTAGTGTGGTAGCCATAGAAACATAGTATTGTGTCGTTTATGCTGCAGAAAAGTGAAACACCATCACAGTTTTGTATATTTCACACTCCTGATTTAAGTACCTCATGAAACGTGGTGCTATGTCGCTTTTTCTGGCTCCTGTTCAGCTGTTGACGTTGAATGTACAGTATGTGTGCAATCAAGGAAACGATTGATTGAACCCATTATGCTCTGATTACCACTGGCCACTCTCTCCCTCCTGTCTGAGTGAGTCTATTCTGAGGAAGGAGACAATAAAGAAGCCCTGTCTCCTCCCTCCCTCTGTCTATCCGACCTTCCTTTCTTTTCCCTTTTTTTTTACCCTTCTCTACTTTTTCTTCCACTTCCATCCCTCAACCAAACCCCTCTCTTCCAATCAGTATGGTCTTTCATTTGTTTTTTTATAGACCGTATAGGACGACGAGCGTTGGTACCCTCACACCTGTGGCTGCGGCAGACATATCCTGTTTGGAAAAGGCCTCACCAAACACCCTAATCCATCCACCCCTTTGCCTACCTCATCCTCGCCTCTCCGACTAAACCCACTCGCCTCCCCGCTCTACCACCAAACCAGGAAGTGTGCAAAGGAAACAGCTGTCCCCCACGTCCGCCCGCTTGCTCCTGGCCAGGTGCATCCTGGGAACGGAGCAATGTGTGACCGTCGACATGTGGCTGACACTGTACAAGGTGCCGTTACAGTAATCGGGATCAACATGAACTTTATACAGCGAGGAGATAAAAATAAAGCTTTGCTATCTCTTCAAATCTTATTTCTAAAGTATTTCTCTGGGACTGAATCTACCGTGTTTGGGCATTGTGGTAACAAGGCAGTAACGAGGATGAACTGAATAATTTATGTTTGATCTGCTTCATTAAGCGAATACACTTGTCTCACCAATCTCCTGAATTCAAAGGGGAACTCCGCCGATTTCACACATCAGACTAGGTTTAAAGTCTGTTTACAGGTGTTGGGGTTACTGCTGCCTACCGTGAAAAAAAGTTGTGTAAAACCTTTTATGGCCTTTGAGAGAGCCGTGGGAAGTGGATGTCAACTTGATTGGGGTCTAGAAATTTGCAAATGAAAATAATTTGGGGGTTTTGAAAGAAGATGAGTTTACCAAACCTCTGTAGCTCGCTCGTGATCTCTGCTTAACACACCCTAAACTTTGACTGAACTGTCAGCGGGTAGAGTTGCACTGTGGGTAATGTAAGCTCAGGTTCTGTAATTGTAATAAAAAAGACAATACCTCTGGTTCTACATTGATTGTGATCTGTTTTTATTTAGTGCAATATTAAATCAGTGGCATAAATTTGTGTCCATAGGTATTCATACAGATGCATACAAGTTGCCCCCGAATGGTTCTTTATTCTTTATTCTACTTTTAATCTTTTTCATCTACAAGACTCCATGCTACAAACATTTAAATAAATAAATAAACATGTTTGCTCATGTGTGTCAAACACCCGCTGACTCTTGATGAGGTGGATCAGGTCTAGGTCATGTTAATGGAAGTGGGTCAGAGGATCTGATTATGGGCTGGCAGTGTACACCCATCCTTATGTTTTGTCCTAAATTCCAACATAAACTGAAACTCTTCTTGTTGTCATTTTCTGTAGTTGGATGGCCGGTCTCCAGGACAATCAGGAAAAATAAACAGAGTCGACATCTGTCACAGGAGAGGAGGAGAGAGAGCGCCTGTCCCGGCCAGCGCTCGCAGCATTGTTTGTCACTTTCTCCATGAAATACACTGCGAATATTGCCTCAAACAATTAGGTTCCAGTGATGCCTATCGCCCAGCACACAATAGTGTTTACATGGCGTGGAGGAAATGTGGCCATGGAGCCCGCTTTGGGGAGTGTGCATGTGTGTGTTTTCATATGTGTGTATCCTCACTGTATGTTCATATGACTGTACCATCACCAGTATTGTTGCAATGCAAAAAACGTTTTCTCATTTTATTCTCCAGTTCTCGTAATCTTAAAAGTGAAAATGTTACTTTTAAAAAGTTGAATTTATACAGAATAAAATGTAACTTTGCTCAAATCAACACTATTATGGGTTTTACCATGCCTGCCTTATTTGGTCTGGTATGACCAGTAGCTTAGCATTAGCAGCTTCTTCAAACTTGCTACATTTTTGTCTATAGGTTTTTTTTCTGCTTTATTGCTGAAACATAATTAAAGGATGTGTGATTGGGTTTGATTTTTAAGGGCTAAGCCAAAATTTTTCAAATTGAGTGGACCAGGAGAATTTGACTATGGCAACATATGCGCTTTTATATGCTGCAAGCGGTATCTCCTTCAAAACTTCTTTTTGTTTTAATCTGCATGTTTTCAGGTAGGTGTAGTAAAAAATAGCTAAATATAGATTATATTTTTGTTGATATTTGTGTTCTGACAACATATCAATCTATCACAGAAACACTGCAGCACTGTGGTATAAAACATCAATTCATATGAACATTTCAGTATTTTTAGGTGATTGCCATCGTGCCCTGACATTTTTTACAGCAGCTAATGTTAAGTTAGCTGGCCTGTGGGGGACCTCGGTAGCTCACTGGGTAGAGCTTGTGTCAAGGGTGAGTCCTTACTGCAGCAGCCCGAGCTGCCCTTAGAACCGAGGGTCTAAGGACAGACGGTGCTGAATGTTGTACAGACTGTAGAGCCCCATGAGGCAAATTGTAATTTGTGATTTTGGGCTGTATAAATAAAATTTGACCTGACTTGACTTATGGATCAGTGTAAGACAACATTTTTCATAATAAAGTTTGTGGGCCATGCCAATTACAGGAGTTCCCTGGAGAAACAACAACACAGGAGGACACTAAGAGATGATACTGAAATACGGTACGAGCAGGCTTTTGTATCTGTTATTTTCAGTTTGGTTCCTGGACTTCAATTTAACAGCTGTTTTTTCTTTAGCCCATGAAGCCACAAGGTTTTCATTTTCTACTCATCACCCACACATGCTTACTGATCCAGCAAGAAGATCAATGTTGTTTCTGCAGGTGCACACATACACTCACACACACACA